ACGCTGATAATGCAAACCTGAAGACTACAGCCAGCCAGAGGATACAAGTGGTTTTTAAATTTTTACTAATTTTTATTTTTTATGTGTATGGATATTTTGCCTGCATGGATTTCTATGCATGTGTGTACAGGGTCCTTGGAAACCAGAAGAGGGTGTTGGAGCCCCTGGAACTGGAGTTACACACAATTATAAGCTGCCATGTGAGTGCTAGGAGTCTGGGAAGAGCAGCCAGTGCTCTTAATTGCTAAGCCATCTCTCTGATCCTCTCAAGAAGTTTAAAAAAAAAAAAATAGAAATCACTGGAGCAAGGAAAACACTAAGGGAAAAATTAAACTGTTTGTTTGTTTGTTTGTTTGTTTGTTTGTTTGTTTGTTTGAGACAAGGTCTCTCTGTTCAACCCCGACTGAACTGGAACTCTCCTTGTAGACCAGACTGGACTTGGATTCACCTCCGGCACACTGGAATTAAAGTTGTGAACTACTACTCCCAACAAAAAAATTAAAAGTAACAGAAGATAACAGCAGTATGCTATAAAACCACATTCTCTACTGTTACTCTTTGGTTTCATAGTGGCCAGGCAAGTCCAGGCAAGTCAGGACGGGAGGAAGGACCAGCAACTTCCTTATCTGAACAGAAGGCCTCTGGCAGCCATGTACTACCTCAAGACCAGGTACCCGAGAAATGAGCAGATCACTGTTCTATTTTACAGTGTGGATGAGTCCACGTGATGTTGAATCAAAGAAACTAGACACATGAAAGCATGGAGTTAACTTTGCTGTGGAAACCTATTCCCCTGTTGTTCTCGTGAAGACTTTAGATCATCTCACTGGGAAATGCATGTATAAAACTCTGTAGATAATCCAGTTTGACACTTAGCCATTGACTCTTAGTTCATGGGTCCAGATTCCAAGCACCCTTTCTTTTCAGGGTTAAAGAGATGGCTCACTGGGTGCTTTGTTTACTTGCTTGTTGGTTTGGTTTGGTTGTTGGTTTGCTTTTTTTTTTTTTTTTTTTGACAGGGTCTCTCTACATAGCCGTGGCTGTCTCCAAACTCACTATGTAGACCAGGTTGGCCTCAAACTCACAGAGATCTGATTGCCTCTGCCTCTCAAGTGCTGTGATTAAAGGTGTGCGCAGCCGCCACTGCCGCCGCTGCCGCCGCCGCCGCCGCCACCACAGCCACAGCCACACTTGGCCTACTTCTGGGATTCTTGAGGTTTCTAACTTGAATTAGTGTTCAGGTAAAGATGCAAACCCAGGAGGCAGAGGCAGGAGGATCTCTGTGAGTTCGAGGCCAGCCTGGTCTACAGAGCGAGATCCAGGAAAGGCAAAAAACTACAGAGAGAAACCCTGTCTCAAAAAACCA